GAGTGAAACTTTATTCTTCCCTTTTTTTCCTTTTAATTTGAGATTATAGCATCCCTAAAGAAAATGCATAAATTATGTATCGTTTTCTATGTATGGGTCTCTGTCTCAAACTTTTAGGATTTTATTATTCCTTTTTGTGATTTGCAGCTTGACTCACAATGACAGCTACTTACAGTTCAGATCAAATGGAACTACATTCTCAACTCAGTTACAGGACATTTGTGTCCCTCTGTTTTTGCAAGTGTGGGAAGACAACCAGCTTGATTCATACACTGTCAATATAAAATGCTATCATTTTGGAAGTCTAATAGCTAGCTGGTTTTCCAGCTTTCTGTTCCCAATAGCTCAGAACTTGTTGCATAGTGGCTGAATGAAATGTACAACGTCTATTTTATGTAGGGACCGTGTAAATTGAGTAATTTTTTTTAATGAAGTATTTGAGGACAGAAATGAAATGTACAACTTCTATTTTATGTAGGGACCTTGTAAATTGAGCAAATGCTTTATTTTTTAATAAAATATTTGAGTACAGATACTCTATTTCAAAGAGAGATGCTATTTATTATGGAGGTTGGGATGACTGTTGCGGGAGACTTCTAATCTATTCTTATGCGTACCTTTGTATTGCAAACTTGATCGACAAAAGAGGATACATTTGTATTGCAAACTTGATCGACAAAAGGGAGATTTGGATGTCTACTTGAACTTCTTAAAAAGGGCACCTATCCCCAACTCAAATTCAACAAAGATATATATATATATATATATATATATATCAAAGATTGTTTTTATATCCAAGAGACTTCCTGTCCAAGCATGATACCATCTCTCAATGGAGACTCCCCATCCAGGCATGATACCGTCTCTCAATGGATATACGCCCCACTTTTTTTTTCCTATTTTTTGGTTCAAACTTTTTAAAATCGGCACCTATTCCCAACTCAAATCAAATTTAAAAGAGAGAAATATATGAATACATATCTATGATTGTTTCTATATCCAAGAGAGTTCCCCATCCAAGCATGATAACCTCTCTATGCTCCATTTTCTCTCTATCTCTTTCTCTCATTAGTTAGGGTTTTGATGTTTAAACCCTAAAAGGACCTTTCATTTAGTATTATGTGATTAATTGTGGGAAGAGAAAAAAAAAATGTTGGGTATCTATTTTTTGATATTTAAATTTTGCTATTGCAATAATTTTCAGGTTCAATGAAGCTTAACAAACTTTATATTGAAGATAAGTCACAGTAATTTTTTTTATTTTATTTTTTCTATTATCGTATGTTTTAGGTTTTTATATTGAAGGTAAGTCGTAATAATTATTTTTATTTATCTATTACATTACCTTTGTTTATACTTTTTTTAGGTGTTCTTTGTATTTTTTAGGTGTTTATATTGAAGGTAGGTTGTAGTAATTATTTTTATTTAGTTTTTGCATTATCTTTGTTTGTATTTTTTTAGGTGTTCTTTGTATTTTATAAAAATTGAGAAACACATTAATCTTTAAAAATAAGAAAAACCTTGCTTTTCTCAAGATACGCAATTATTATTATTTTTTAAATTTCATAAATACTTGTTTTGAATTAATTTGTACATGGTCTTGTTTTATTTTTGGAGAAATTAATATTTTACACGGCCTTTCTACACCAATGCAATCATCAAACTAATTCTCTAATGACAATAATTTTTTCCGGAGAGAAGAGATCCTCATGTAACATTGACAATGACAATGGTACCAACTCAAAATCGTTGTCGTTCTATACAAATTTTTTTCACATATTTTTTGGAAAAAAAAAATGTAACAAATTATAAATTTTTGTTACTTTTTTTTAATTATAACTACTTCTCTATATTATTGTAATTAAAAATTTCTTATTATCTATGGGATGACTCATGATTAATGAAATTTTTGATTAATAGATCTCTTTGATCATTGAATACTTACTTAAGGGATGACGCAGGTAATTGCATACGTGCACGCACGTAATTCAACTAGTACTTATAAACCACCTTCTAAAAGAGGGCCGTCAGTACATGTATGGAGCTAGAAACAATCACGCGTGTTAGGAAAGCCCAAGCTGCATATTATCTAATGTTATATAATATAAAATAATATATTATTTATATAAAATATTATATATATTATTTTATATAAAATATTATTTACATATTATAGCAAGAGGGTTTCATGCGGGGCAAGCAAGAGTCATTCGCCTTTTTCTTTTAAGCGGACTCCAAAAATTGGTTCAATAGAACTTACAACAAAAATTTAAAGTGGATCGTTTCCAAAAAAAAAAAAAAAAATGAACTCCACCTATGCCCACGGAATTAACATTTCCAGCTACTTGGCTTAAAAAGTGGAATAGTGATTTTTTGCTGAAATGTGAATCCCTCCTCAGAGTGTATCTAAACACGATTTTTTGGCACATTTCCTGAAATCTGAGTCCCAGAAATTTGAATCCAGGAACCAAATAGACCCTAAAGGAATATTTTCTCAGACTGGCCCTATACATTTTCCATATTATTTCCTAATGGATTTTCCAATAAAATAAAATGGCGTAGTTTATTTCATACATATCAAATACCCAAGTGTCTAAAAAAATTGGATTGGGTGATCTGGATCAAAGAATCGGCCAGATCGGTAGGGTATTATGTACTTTCAATATTTTGTAAAAATAGGTGAATACTGATATGCTATTTTCTTATTTGGATGTCTGTTAACCATTCATTCATGTCACTACAAAAAAAAGAGCTTACTATCATCAAAGATATAAACATAAAGTTCAGAATGGAGCATTACCAAAATACAACTTAATGGACATGAAGATATTGTTGAGTATGTAAATGGCCAAAAAATCATACTCAATGTTCAACGAGCAGATTGTTTTGCCATCTTGATAGTAATGTTCAAAGACAAATTTATTACTATTTTATTAGTAATGTGCCCTGCATATTTTATTACTAATGTGGGACCTTTGCTTTGCATCAGATTAGAGGAAATATTACAACATTTGAATATGTTCTTGTAATTTTTAGAGTAATTTTTAAAATGGAATTCATAACTAAATTCATAATCAAACAACAAAAGGTTAATAATAGCGAGCTAGTTTATTATTAAACATCTGAATATTGTATTTTCATAATATAGAGCTAATTTATAAAACTATTTTAAAAAGAAAAAGGAAAAAAATGAAAAATTGTATCAAGGATAAAGAACCTAAGGACAACGGATTTTTCCTCTTTTAATTAGTACAACGGGTTAAGTATCTAATAATCCAAATGCTCCATTTGCATTATTCTGGAAATTTTTATTTCCATCTAAGCCACCCACCAAAAGTTATGCTATTATAAAAATAAGAGAAAACCATATTAAACAGGCAAAAAATATAGAAAGATCAAAGATAAAAATATCGTAGCATTCATCATGAAACAAAAAAAAGAAGGAACATGCTCAATTATTGAAAGAAATGAAAATGAAAATGCAATCAAGTCTAAATGTTATAAATAAGAATAATTAAAAAAGAGATAAAAATACTACAATATTAAAAGACAAAATAAAAAATTACAAGAAAAAAGAAAAAAACTCAAAATCATTCATTTTTCTTAGAAAATTGCAAAGTCATGAGATAAAATTAGATTTTATTAAAAATAAAAAAATCCTTATTCTCACACCATATGTATCAATCATGTTCATCGAAAGACCTAATTTGATCAAGTAGTTTTTTCTTTAAGAAAAAAAAACGATTTCTTGAAACCGCTAAAATCAAGCAATATTTCAAGTAATAATCGACCCACAATCTTCTTACCATAGAACAAATCAATACACATACATTGTAAAGGTTTCAATTCTCTTTCAAATGCTCCAAATTGCAGCAAAAATAATATGATCTTGAAGATCAAATCGAAAAAAGGCAGACTTTTAAGAAACTATATAAAAGTGACACGTTTCGAGCACCAATTGACCCACAATCTTCTTATAATGGAACAAATCTATATACATACGTCGTAAAGGCTTCTATTCTCTTTCAAACGCATCAAATTGCAGCAATAATGATCTGAGATTGAAAATCAAATTGAGAAAATAGCAGTTTTTTTATTGAACCATGAACAGAACGGCATGTTTTAAGTAAATATCGACTTACAATTTTGATAATCGAACAAATCAACACACATACATTGTACATGCTTCAATGATCTTTTAATCGTACCAAATTGCATCAAATGTAAGAATCCTTATTACTTTCATTGCTCTTTGTGATAACGTGGATCATATTATTCATCACTCCGACAAAATAAAATTCATCATTCCAACAAAATAAGGGTAGATGACTTCTCCCCACTTACTCACCCAAAAGAAGGCGACGGAACAAATAGGAAATGCTGTAATGTTGCATGTTTAGCACGACGCAATGTTATGAGCGTCGCAAAAAGTGGAAACTTGAAGGAAACAAAATTATTTAGGTGTTTAAAGAAAATGCAAGCGTAAGCTAGGCGATCGAAGCGACCAAGAAAAAAGGAAGTGTAGACCTTTAGGTGTTTTGTATCAAGCTCACGGTGCTTGTAAACATAGCAAAAACAAGAGAGAAATAGAGAGTTTCAACTCGACATGAATCACGATTAAGAGAGATAAAGCAACTCTCTATAAGTTATGGATCGAATCACGATTAAGAGAGACGAAGCAACTATCTATAAGTTATGGATCGCTATTGATAGATCGGTTCATTTCGATACCATGTAGAATTTACAATAAAAAAAAAACGACAAAATAAAAAAAAATCAATATCTTGGTGCTATGACGGTCAACAAAGCCAGGGTGTAAAAGTGTTAGAAGGTACTAATGGAGAGAGAGGTGTGAAAGTGTTGAAAGGTAGTGATGGAGAGAAACAGATAAAAGAAACTGAGGAGAAGATGAAATTTTTTAGCAGTACATTAGAGTAGGGAGACTTAGTAGCATATGAGAGTTGCAGACGTGGGGTAACCATGGAGAGGTTTAAATCTAATCATTTGATCAGAGAGGGAGACCCTACTGCAGAGAGAGACCCTACTCTAGTGATCTCGTCTATGGCGTGCCAGATGTCCTGAAACACGGCCATGATGGCCTCGAATAGACAGACAAACACATCTATTCCCCCCTTCCCTTTCATCTGTGACGCAGTGACCACATCCCCATCATAAGGAATGAAAGAGGGCATGAAGACATCTGGCCCTCCACTCCCAAAATCCATTTCATCAAACGGCAACCATAGCCAGCTAGAGGCCTCCAAATTAGGGCAAAACACCTCCGACTCCATCTCGCCCGTGGGGACCAACTCACCCCAACGCCCCTCTCTCTCCACAAGAGAGTCAAAGTCCGCAAACGACCTAGCGTATCTGTTATTCACTTGCGCAATCGCCGCGTGCACCAACTCAGCCACGCGGTCTAGTGACTGGCTCAATAACTCGTGCACCGTGGTTCGAGGAAAAGCCCACAAAACCATATTGCCAAAGTATTCACGGGGAATCGGAGGCACTAGGCGGGTGCGCAAGTTGACGGAGATGCCCACCTGGCTTATCTCCTCCTCGCCCACGCTAGCGCCCCTTGCCCGCGTCACCTTTTGCCAAACGTGAGAGACGACGCTCTCGTACGTGCTATAGCCACCACCGCTTGGACAACGCACCGATGGCCGGGCCTTGAGCTTGGCTAAAAAGTGGGGTGAGGAATGGAATTTTTGCATTCTAAGCCGGTTCACTATTCCCTCCCATGAAAACTCCCTTACGAGCCTCTTCTCCATGTATTCGTTGCCCAGGTGGTCGAACTCGATGGAGAGTAGATCGCGTGGCTCGAGCATGGCTCGGTCGTGTATTGGTACCGGGTAGTGCAATAAGCCACGAGTGGCTTGGCTTGCCCCCAGGCAGCAAGGAACCTGCCCGTGGCCTCGCCATCAGCTATAATGTGATTGGATGTGTAGCCAACAACAAGGGAGCCACACGTGAAGCGAGTGAGCTGGACTTGCATTAGCTCCTCAATGTCCTCGACGCTTGGGTGTTTGATTTGAAGGGACTGGCCTCATCTAATGTGCATGAAGCCGTGGCCTCCACGAATCGCACACCTTTGTCATTGAGGACAACGGCTCTTTTATCTTCTATGAGGCGGCCAGCCCACACGCGATAGTCGGAAAGCACGAGGCGAAGGCCATGATCAATGGCCGAGTTAGGGGGTGTCGGAGCTTTGTAGGCAAAAATTATGGGGGACGTGGTCACTGCCGGCTGCTCGGTCAAAGGGACTTAAGGTGATGGTGGTGCAGGTTGAAGGTGTAAGGGGTTTGGTTTCATAGGATGGGGTTACTAGCCTCGAGCTCTGCTTTTCAATCTTCATATCTCTCTCTGTGTCTCAAACTCACAAGATTCACTCCTCTCTCTCTCTCCAGACTTCGCTCGAATTTCTACTCTCTAAGGCTCTCCTCTGCTTTCATACAACGTTTACGACAGGAATAAATCTTGCTTTGTCTCTATACATCTATAATGGGAACACCTCACACTCTCTGGTCGCTCGGTCTAGTCCTTCTCTCCAAATTCTGGATATAAGCTCCAAGGTAGGTGTGGTTGCTCTCTCTCTCTCTCGCTCTGAAGTCTGAACCTATCCTCTACGGTAGGTATGGTCTCTCTCAGTGATGCACACATGTATTTTTCGCTTCAGGTATAAAAAATTTCCTTATGTGGGGTTCAAAGCAGAGAAAACAATTTCTCTCAAGAAATAATATCTACTTCAGATTTTGGATCTAATTGTCGAAATAGACAACTTTCATAGAAAAGTGTTCCTAACAATCTTTCAGGGACCTTCTTCCAGCCCAGACAAAACAAAACGAAAAAAATATTCCCGCGTTTGTCACGAGGGAGAGGAAATGCACTCCTGGCCCCGAAATTATAAGCGCCTTTCCTGCGGTCGCTGAAGTTGAGGCCATCGCATGCGCTCAAAGAAATCATTTCTCAGAAACCCCCCTCTATAGTGCCCATATATTTTCCTAATGGATTTTCCAATAAAATAAAGGTGCGCAGTTCCTTTCACACATACAAAACATCAAGTGTCCAATAATGTTTTCAAAAAATAATGTAAGTCATCGTGTCCATGTATTTTGCCTAAACGGGCGCAGTTCATTTCACACATATAAAACACCAAGTGTCCAATAATACTTTCAAAAAAAAAATGTAAGTCTACTTATGGTTATATTATTTTCAATGGAAGTCTTCTCCATCATTCAAATAGGAATGCCATGGCATCAAATGTAAGATTCCTTATTATATAAACTTTTTCCTAGGTGCAGTTTGTATAAGGTGGAGGCTCTAAATAACTAAAGTAAGGCGCACCTTCAAATAATGTCGAGCTGTTTTAATGTTGGAAATCTTTGTGAAGGCCTGAAAATTTATTTTCATCTCTAATTATAAAATTTAAAATTTAAAAAATAGTGTAAACCGTGTAAGTCTTTGAACACTTGAAAATTTTGAAAATTGACTGTTGAAAAATTCATTACAAGATGCATTATTTTCAAAAACTTGAACTCCATTTTTTCTCATGTCTATGCATCTTGTAGTTGAGATTATCAATTTGAGGATTTTTTGGACATCGAAACAGCCTCTTTTAGTGAAATTTTTGAGGAATGCCTTAATTTGATTGTTTAAGGCCTTGCCATTATCATATTTTTTTTCTTTGTGATAACAAGGATCATAATATTCATCACTCCAACAAAATAAAATAACATATCTCAATCAAGTCCAAGAGAGAGATTCCATGAGATGGAGGACACAAATGTGTTGGAACTTGGAACATAGTAATAGAGAGAGAGAGAGAGAGAGAGAGAGAGAGAGAGAGAGAGAGAGAGA